ATATGAGCCTTAATTATAGAGCCAGGCAAGAAATATATTTCTTTAATTCTACTGTTTGATATTATTTTTTGTTAAAGGACTAGTTTTTTCTTCTTCTCATCATTTGGAAATTTATGGTTCCATTTTTATCTTTACAACTACTGTTTTGATTCATAGCAAGAGTTTTTGTCTACTCTTACCTAATCCACAATTTTCTATTTATGCAATGTTTAACCTCACAAAATGACTGGATTATTCTATAGTTATCCAAGGTGCTGGAGGAATGCATATGATTGATCCACTTTTCCAGAGGATGCTTGTGAATGAGTGTCGGCACTGTAGAATTCCAGTAATCTTCGATGAGGTCTTTACGGGTTTCTGGCGATTAGGAGTAGAGGTTTGTCACTTTTAATTGGATTTTTTTTTATTTCTGTTTTGTTGGAAAATCATGTTGCTGAGATTTATTGGAAGTTCGTTAATCATTATTTCATGGCAGGCTGCAGCAGAACTGCTTGGTTGTGTACCAGATATAGTGCTTTGCTAAGCTCATGACAGGGGGGATCATCCCTTTAGCTGCCACACTAGCAACTGATGCTGTTTTCATTCATTACTGGAGATTCAAAGGTATTATATTTTTTAATGTTTTCAGAAATATTGCTTCAAGGTTTCACCTAATAACCAAAGAAATTATGCTTTGTCAATAGTGTTAATTTAGCATTTAATTAGGAACTAAAATATAGGACATTGATAAAGACAGCATTTCAGGGGAAATTAGTAGCATGTCAATGAAAAACTGGTAGAGGAAGTTGAATATTAGAAACTTACTTTGTTTACTTTGTGCATCCAAGCACCTAAGGAACTGAAACTATTGGTGATTTCCTGGTTAATACTAATTTCAGTATTTGGAGTGGTGTAGGTAGCTTTTACGGATTTGTTTAATAATTAAAGAAAGGTGCATTATGTTTTTTTTTTTTTTTTGATAAGATTAGAAGGCCTCATTAAAAACCTCCTTCATGATTAATGGATCTTGAGAGCTCCTTAATCATTGGAAGGAGGAAAAGAGCGCCTTAGATTTCATTAAAGAAAATAAGATTACAACCTCGATAACTCTCCTCGAAATAACCCTTACAACATTACAAAAACCCCACCCGAACAGGAATCAACAGCTAAACTGAAACAGCAAACAACATAAAAATTAGCCTATTCCAGCCTTTGCTAAAGCATCGGCGTCCATATTAGCTGACCTAGCAACCCAATTTATAACCCCCCCAAAGCTCTAAGATTGTCAACAATGTCCCTAACAACGAACGCATAAACGCCTGGGCATGAATTAACATTGTTAATCCAGTCTACTGCAACTCTGCTATCACTCTCAACAATCAGCCTATCTTTGACCCTCCCTTGAGCAGAAGCATATAATAAAATACCCCTCTGAATAGCTTTAAGTTCAATCAAAGTCGGAGGTCCCGGACCAGCTGGCTCATGAAAAGATCCTAGGACTGAACCTGAATGATCCCTCCAAATACCTCCAATACCCGATTTCTTCCAGTCACTACTAACGGCTGCGTCCACATTCAATTTTAAAAAACCTGAAGGGGGAGGTCCCCAAGGAAGTGAGGAAGACTTCATAGAGCAGTAGGGCGAGTAGGAATCTGCTAATGAAGGATCCATAATCAAGGAATCCTTATGAATAGAACCGTCCTTGTGCTTAGCTAGAAACCAAGAAGCCAATCTAACCCGTGATAAGAAAAATAACTCTAATGATCAAGTTTTCCTTTTTCAAAGACAATAAAATTCCTGGCCTTCCAAATGGTCCAAATGATAGCCCCAGAATGAAAGCCCAAATAGAAGATTTGAATTCAACTCATCCCAAGCGGTGAGAAGGTTTTTGCATCAGCAGGAAGCACAGAACTAAATCTCCAAAAATTATAAAACTTGTACCACAAAGCCATGCAACCGAACATGTAAAGAATAAGTGCATGGAAGTTTCCTCAACCAACTTACAAAGAGGGCACAAATCATCTTCGATACCTTGAACCCCTCTTTTGATCAGTTCGGATTTAACAGCTAGCTTGCCAAGCACAACCTGCCACATTAAAGATTCAACTCTAGGGGGTACCAAACCTCTCCAAATAATGTTATTCCAGAAGCAACCATCGTCTGATCCAAGAGCACACCTTTTAATACAAGAAACTGACTGAAAAAACACCATCCCCATTGCCTTTCCAAATTAAAACATCACTAGAATCTTTAGACAGAGAATAGGGAGATTAAAGCTCATCAAGTTACACCATTGTTCAACCTCCCAATCATTTAAATTTCTTCTAATTTGAACATCCCAAACCCAGCCAGAAGGATAGAATTCCCCAAACTCCAAAGTTTACTGATCTATTAGAAGAAACCGAAACAATCTAGGAAAAAAACTGAAGCGGATAATCTGCAGCCCAATTATCTTGCCAAAAACGAATAAGCTTACCGTTTCAACATAAAAACTACACAAACTTCGAAACTTAGAGCCAAAGGAGTCTTGTTTATAATAATTGTTAACCACCGATCTCCAAAGCCACGAAGATTGAGTAGGAACCTTGCTATCAAACAGTAACCTTGAAGAATCAATGTTGTATTTGCTACAGATAAAATTCCTCCAAACAAGTGTCTCTCATTTGCAAATCTCCAACACCATTTCCCTAGCAATGCTCTATTCATACTAGTCAGATTCCGGACTCCCAGACCACCCTCGTTCTTAGGTTTACATACATCATCCCATTTAACCCAGTGAATCTTCTTCGAACCATTCCCCCTCCCCTCCCCATAAAAATTAGACATGATCGAATTTAGAGTCTTAAGGATTGAAACTGGAATCTTGAACATAGACAAGAAGTATGTAGGCAGTGAGGACAGAACCGATTTGATCAAAACCAGTCTCCCTGCTAATGAAAGTGTAGCAGCCTTCCAACCCGCTAATTTAGTATGAAAATTCGGCACCACTGGTTCCCAAATAGCCGATGCATTCTTTGTTGCCCCTAATGGGAGACCTAGGTAATTAGAGGGGAAACTCCCCACCGAACAACCAATAGAGGCTGCCCAGGTCTGAACCTCCTCTTGGGATATATTAATCCCAAACAAACGCTTTTCTTTAGATTTAGTTGCAGCCCTGACATAACCTCAAAAACTCTGAGTACCCTCTTCACATTCATTATCTGTGTTTTCGAAGCTCCACAGAAGATAATTAAATCATCAGCAAACTGTAAATGTGTGAGCTTGAAAGACCCTTCCTCCTTACCAACTGTCAAACCAGAAAATAGTCCTTCGGAAACAGCCCTCAGTATTAATAAATTCAGCAACTCCCCTACTAGATTGAATAACAAAGGTGAAAGTGAACCCCCTGTCTTAGTCCCTTGGCCATCGAAATTCCTCGGTTGGAGACCCATTGACTAACACTGAAATGGAGGCAGTAGAGACATTTCCTGATCCAACTAATCCAAGTCGAACCAAAATCCCATCTTTTCCATCACCTTGAATAAGATAGCCATCAACCGTGTCATAAGCCTTTTTGAAATCTACTTTAAAAACACCCTTCAGCCCTTTCTTCCTCCAATAATCAATGCCCTCGTTAGCAATGAGAGAGCAATCCAAAATTTGCCGACCGGGTATAAAAGCAAATTGTGATTGACTGATGATCTCTCCCATACAGCTTCTAATCCTCCTTGACAGACACTTGGAAAGAATCTTGTATACACCTCCTACTAGACTGATCGGTCTATAATCATCTAAACTTCCAATATTAGAACCCTTAGGAATAAGGGTAATAAAGGTGTGGTTAATACCATGTTCCCAATTTTTCCCCCTGTGGAATCTGTGAAAAAAATTGCATGATGTTACCTTTAAGTTCAGACCAAAACTTCTTAAAAAATCCCAAGTTCAATCCGTCTGGCCCCGGAGCCTTATTACTATCACAAGACTTTAAAGTCTCCCAAACCTCTTCCTCCGAAAATGCCTTCTCCAAAAAAATGTTTTGATCCATGGAAATTCTAGGAAACGTCAACCCAATGTCTTCCACTTCCAAAGTAGACCGATTATTGAAAAATGTTAAAAAAGTGCTCTTTAACAGTGGCCTTAATTACTGCTGGATCATGAGTAATATTCCCCTCAATTAACAAGGCATTCAACGCATTCCGTTTTCTTCTCACTGAAGCGCAAGTATGGAAGAATCTAGTGTTTCGGTCCCCATCGTTAATCCACTTCTTTCTGGAATTTTGAACCAAATTTGTTCCTCAATTCTCAGAAATTTCCACAACTCTGATCTACAATTACGTAACTCCTCGATTTTCCTTGGAACCGAACTGTCCTGCACCATCTGAACGTCCTCCTCTAACTTGTGAATTCTCCTTTCCAAATCTGAGATAGAGGCTCCCAGAAATTGATTTTTCTGCCCTGTCCAATTCTTAATGGCAACCTTAGACTTCTTCAAAACACTTAGGATTCCAGCTTTTCTCCCATCCTTCTTGCAATCTGCTATAATGTGACAGACCATTTCCTCAAAACCTTTTTCCTCCATCAAATAATTATATAGTCTGAAAGGTTTTTTCCCCCAATCAACTCCGCCATCTTGTAAAAGAATAGCATTATGGTCGGAAATAGACTTAGGAATAAGTGACTGAATTACCTCGGGAAAACCATCCAAGAATTGTCCGTCCACCAAAAACCTGTCCAACCTAACCAAAGTCGTACATTTTGCAAGAATTTGTCCTTTCTGATTATATTTCCTCATTTAACATTAGCCTGGGAGTCTGTATGTGAGACTTGGATTGAAAGATGTTTAGGTAGCTGATTTCAATAAGATTCTTATCAGTATTGTTTGGATTTTTTTTATAGTTAGCAGATTTGGATTGTTTGGTGGGAGAAACACTAATTTTATTGCAAAGCATCTGCATTTAGCTATAATCCTTATATTTATTTGCATTATGCTGATAGTATAAATATAACTCTTACATTTATGTGGTTTTATTGCTTTCAGCTTAAGGCTCTTTTGCATGGACACTCATATTCGGCACATGCAATGGGGTGCACAGCAGCTGCTCGATCTATTAAATGGTTCAAAGATCCAATTACAAACCTTAACTTCACATCTAAAAAATCTCAGAAAATTTTGCTTAGGGAGGTGTGTTAATTTTTTTATCTTTTCCTTTTTCACCTTTTACAAGTTTAGTTCCCATACCTTTCTATATTCTAAGATGGATACCCGAGGTGAGAAACTTTCTAGCAGCGTAGAACATTATTCTATCCTCTTATGGTTGGCAATTCCGCATATTATTTTTACTTGTTGATTTTCTATGGCTTTTAAATGACATCTTTCTTTGAACTTTTCCCCTAAGAAACAAGGACATATGTTTTCACACTTGCATTTACATTCTTGCAGTTATGGATGCGGAACTCATGCAACAGATCTCATTGCATCTTCTGTATCAAGGGTGGTTGCACTGGGAACTCTTTTCGCTCTAGAACTGCAAGCAGATGAATCTGATGCTAGGTATGTTTATTTATAATTTTTTTTTCATTTAATTCTCTGGAACCACTATCCTACTTGTCTAGTTTGTAGTTCTTTAAACCTGTTATTTGCTTCAAAATTTGAACAAGCAGAAGCCAGATGTTTTCGAATGCTAAACCATTTCCATGAAAGGCAATAGCTTAATCCATGTTGTACATAAGTGACCAACAATAGTCCCAAACTTATTTCCTAGTAAATCAAGACCATCCTGGAAATTTCATGACATGATGATTGCGTTGAGGTATCCTAAAATTTCATTCTCAGAACGGCGGAACTCTAGCTGTGAATCTTGCCTAGTTGTGGTTTGCCGAGCCTTCAGGCCCACTTGATTTTGATTTACTGCGATCCTCGAAGTTCCAGGCTCTAGACATGATCCTAATGGTGTGCCGATCCTTTTTCCTTTTCTTTTACAGGTATGCATCTCTTATGCAAAATCTCTGGTTCAGATGCTCCGGGAAGACGGTATCTATTGCAGACCTTAGGAAACGTCATCTATGTCATGTATGGTCCCTGCACATCCCCTGCATTCTGCACCCACAACTCCCAAACTCTACACAAAGCTTGAAGAGTTCACCCAGGTCAAATAAAAGATGGAACTCATTTAACTGGTATCGAATGTCTCTGCTTTCCCCTCTTGCTATAGCCTATATGTAGGTAGTATTTTCTGATCATGAATTCACGAATGAAACTTTTTGGTGAAATTATTATTATTAATATGATATTTATGCCATCCATGGTCATTTGAGCCTGTTATGAAGTTTGATCACTTTTAGTATCTGTCGTTGTATAATATTTTCAACATTTGGAACATATTGGTGTCATTGTTTTATTATTGCTTTTGTGTTGCAATTGCGAAATGGGTTTAAACTCCTTCAGCAAAAGTAATGGCATCATCCATAGTGTATTGGTGTGGCAAAGGTGTCATTTTTAATTATAAATATATATAGGGAAATATCAAAACAGCACATGAACATTGATAGAATGTGTAATATAATATATAAATTTTATTTTGTGTACTTATACATACGAAACTTTATTCTAATTAAAGAGTACACATAAAAATTTAATTTTGATTATATATATTTAAAAAATATTTATTTATTTGTATTAAATAAATAAATTATATGCAATATGTAAATGGATAATGTTATGTTGGTAATAACTTTAATAAAACACGTTCATGCGCTTAATCATATATTATTTGCTGTAATTTTTCTTTATAATATATAAAAGAAATGGATAAAAGTGTTTGTGGAATTAAAAAAAATTCCACTTACCCTTAAACATTATATAATTTTATAATTAAATTGCAAAATAAAGGATTAAAGAGAAATACGCTATAGCAAGTCTGGCAACTGTATAGGACAAATTAAACACATATGATCGATCAACTCCAAAGAAGAGAACAAGTGAAAATCAAAGGAAGAATAAAAGAAAAATCAAAATCGATCAAATCAAATTAAAAGAAGAAAAATTAGGAAAAGTTTGAAAATTCCCCAACATCCAAAAAAAGACTGTCCCAAACGTGCGCCACCCTATTTTTTTTTTCTTTCACGAATTAATTCTCTCACCCTCACCGTTATTTACCCCTTAAACATCATCGTAGTACCGTGAATCATGTCGTACCGGATAATTCCCCGAACCTCTTTTGTCTGCTAACAGGAAGTGGTGCGCACTTAGAAAAGATAATTAGAAAAAGTCCAAAACCAGACGCAGTTCTTTCAATTTACTTCATTCATCGTACTATTCAGCAATCACTGCAAAAGATTTTCCCTTGGATTTTCCTTTCCCTAAATTCATCTCTTCAAATGCTTTATAATTATCCACTTAAAACCTGAGTTTTATTTCTCACCATCTTTTTTTTAATCTCTGCTTATCAGTTGTTCGATTATATATTGAGACCAGACCCGATTGTGGAGTAAGAACCTAATTTTTCGTTTCCCCTGATTTTGAGTTTTCTATCTTTAAAAGGGAGATGAGAGGTTTTGAGTAGTGTGAATTTGAATATTCCATTTCGAAGAGTGTTGTTTTTGTTATAGCTGCAGATCTGGGGGGGGGGGGTGAATCAAGGTTTTCAATTGGTGCTCGGAAAATGCAAAGACAACCGCGGTACATGACGAGGAGTAATAGCATCGCTAGAGGGAAGAGGAGTTTGGAAGGAGATGAGGACCAGGAGCCGGAGCCAAAGCGTCCCGCTTTAGCTAGGTATTTTCTTATGTTTATTCCCTTTTCTGCTGTGTAAGTACGACTTTGTTTGCTTGCTAGAATTTGTGTGTATCCTAGTTGTTGCCTTTTGTATTGTGTTTTTTTTCATTAGAGGGGGACAAAGGAAGCAAAAAAGCCCCCTTGGATTGAAAGAAAGTAATTTTTTTTTAATAGTAACAATACAAATTGTTATCAACAATGTTTAACTTTGATTCCTCTTTGTAGAACTTTATGTTAATTTAATTACAATTTTGTTCATTTTATAGTCAATTAAGATTTTGCTGCAAGTTTCTAAGTAGCAAATTGCTAGTGGTAAAAGCATTAACAAATCATGGCAATTGGCGAAATCAAAATAAAAATATTTTTGTACTCTGCCTAGTGATTTTTTCAACGCATAAGATTTTTTTTCTTTTTTTCTTTCTTCTTCTGTCATTCGATTCTGTGACACTGGTGCAATTTAAAATCTTAGTATCATGGTTATGAAATGATCGGGTTCTCTCTCTTTAGGGCCTAGTTCTTGTCTCAGTAAATTACATGTTTATGTTATGCAGTGTAATTGTAGAAGCGCTTAAGTTGGACAGCTTGCAGAAACTTTGCTCATCTTTGGAACCCACTCTTCGTAGAGTTGTAAGACCTATCTACTATTTGTGATCAATACACTTGTTGTGGAGGATTTCAGGATATTATAAGGGTCTATGCGTGATCAGTGCATCTTCTTTTCAGTTTTTTGTTCTTTTGATATGGGGTTGGTTCAATTGTCATATAGCCAAGATTAAAGACGTTGTGTTAATCGTGTCAAAATGCTCTTGGGATAAATTGTTCTTCTATTGGTTGAAGTTTCATATGAATAGGAGAGTCGCAGTTTTGTGGATATAAGCTTACACATGGACATGCATATATTGTGCTTTTAGACACAGTTACCTGTTTATATACACTGCACAAACAATTCTTTTTTAAAATGTATGGCAATCGACACTCTTCAAGGTTTCAGTTTCTTATGGGGCTTGTTTAAATCTTGTACATTTCTGTGATTTGAAGGAAGAATGCTGATTTTCTTGCGTAACTTGTTACTATTTTTTCACATAAAATCTACATGTCATATAAGGCTTTCCTCCTTTCATTTTTGTTTTTGGACTATACCAACTTTCACCTCACTGTTATCTTGTTATGTATGAAGGTATGTTGTCGATTAGAATTTAGTGTGATTGATCAACTCTTGGTGCCATCACAAATTGCATGATTCTTCAATATATTTTCAGTTAGATTCATAAGTGTGATTAGATCTTTTACATGATCTTTTATTACGTTTCTCACAATATTTAGTGATGACTATGTCTTTTAGGATGTTACTCGATCTTCCATCTCCCGTTCCCTCTAAAGAGGTCGTCAATTTATGTAAAAATATATATATTTAAAATTTGACCATTATTTTCTATTTGATTATGAATTCACATAAAAGTGCCCAATGCCCATCTTTTGAGGGTGATAATGTTTTTCTATGGTGTTTGTAACCTAGACACTCATTGAAAAGAGTATGTGTGGTGCATGTATTGTGTATTCAATTTATGAGACCAATTTAGAATCTTAATTTTAGTGCAATTTGAAGAAAATCTATTGTGTATTCTGTTATATTTCCCCTTTGGGTTATGTTATTATCCTTATGTCTCTTATTACGTCTGCAACCGATGCTTTTGCAGGTAAGCGAAGAGGTGGAAAGAGCTTTGGCAAAATTAGGTCCCCCTATGCTTAATGGAAGGTAAATAATTCATGTCTGATCATATATGGTTTAATTATTTATTGTCCTTGCTTGGTAGGGTAGTATTGGTCAAGTAACTGCTTAATTTTGGTTGAACTTGAGCATTATATGCACGGATACATACTCGATGAAAGCCATACAATATGCTGGGTTTTGTCATAACTTTTAGTCTTTTACTAGGTTTTGGTTGGTTGATTGATATTCTACTTTTCTTGAATAAGCTTGATCCTTTTACAAGAAGCCTAGTGGGAATTAAGTGTAGTTTGCTTTCTTTTTGCTCTTTTTAACAAAGAACCAACGTTTCTTTAGCATTAAGGTCAAGTATGCAGCTTTTTCTTTTTTTCTTTTTTATATATGGAGAATCTTCTAATACTTTTGGTTTTCAGGCCTTCTCCAAAACAGCTTGAAGGTCCAGATGGAAGGAGCTTACAGCTCCACTTCAGGTCCAGGTTGTCCCTCCCTATTTTCACAGGAGGAAAGGTAGAAGGGGAGCAGGGTGCTGCCATCCATATTGTTCTAGTTGACTCCAACACTGGACATGTTGTAACAACAGGACCTGAAGCTTCTGTAAAGCTAGATGTTATTGTGCTTGAAGGTGATTTCAACAACGAGGATGATGAAGATTGGACACAGGAAGAATTTGAGAGCCACGTGGTAAAAGAGCGTGAAGGAAAAAGACCACTGCTAACGGGTGACTTGCAAGTTGCCCTCAAAGAAGGTGTTGGAACATTAGGAGACCTCACTTTTACTGACAATTCAAGTTGGATAAGAAGCAGGAAATTCAGGCTTGGCTTGAAGGTTGCTTCCGGGTTCTGTGAGGGCATACGTGTACGGGAAGCTAAGACAGAGGCTATTACTGTCAAGGATCACAGAGGGGAATGTGAGTTCATACTTCTACTCTATCTATTTTCATTTGTGTATTTCCTGTAATTTTTTTAATTATGTTGCTTGACAGTGTATAAAAAGCACTACCCACCTGCATTAAATGATGAAGTATGGAGACTGGAAAAGATTGGGAAGGATGGGTCATTTCACAAGAGGCTTAACACTGCAGGAATAGTCACTGTTGAAGACTTTTTGCGACTTGTTGTCAGGGATCAGCAGAAGTTACGAAATGTGAGTTGGATTTTGGTTCTGAAATCAAAAGACTATTTCGTTGTAATTGCATTCTGATTTTTCTATCTGCTGTGTTTTTAGATTCTAGGAAGTGGCATGTCAAATAAGATGTGGGAAGCTCTTTTAGATCATGCAAAGACGTGTGTGCTGAGTGGGAAGCTCTATGTTTACTATACTGATGATTCAAGAACCAATGGTGTTGTTTTCAATAATATCTACGAGTTGAATGGCCTTATTTCCGGGGAACAGTATTTACCTGCTGATTCTCTATCAGATAGTCAGAAGGTGGGTAGGATTATGTGCTTTTTGCAATTTCTAGTGAAATGCAGCATTGTTATAGTTCTTTGCTCTTTGGAGGTTACCATGTGGGATGCACTAGCAGCAATGTTGTCTAGGTGTAAAAGATATTACTTTTTGCAGTATTTCTCATATAGTTGATATATAATTTAATTTTTTGAACATGTTGGTTATAGGACCTGTGTCTGACACTAGTGTTGACTATATTCAGGCAAGAGTATAGTGATAAACCCTAAAAGACCCCTTAAAAAAATTGAACATACCTGTGCGTAACACAGCTGTATCCAACATGCATGCCTGCATCTGACACACATACCATTCCAAGTAACATAGCGTAGGACTGTTCTTTACAATTTAACTGTCTTATGTGCTGAGATAATGGTCTTTTCCCATTTCATGTT